GCTAACAGGTGGGAGGCTGAGGGGATGACTACGGGTGCCCTCTTGTGAGTTTGAAGCAGTGTTCACAGTGTCCGGGCAGGAGGCAGGAACTGGGCTGCTCTGTGACAGCAGGAGGCGGGGCTCCCTCTGGGGTTGGAGAGATCTGAGTTACCTGCAGGGGAAGCGGAGGCGCCCTGGAGTTGGGCGGATGCAGTGTGTCTGAGGATGGAGGCATCTTCGGAGATTAGGTGGGGTGTGGGGTGCCTGAGCAGGAGGGTAGCGTGGAAGCTTCTGTGGGGTTCAGATGGGGTTCAGATGTTTGAGGGAGGAGGCACAGCAGAGGTGTTTTCTGTGATATTGGTGAGGATTCAGGGTGTCTGAAGCAGGAGGCAGAGGGCAGGGCTTCTTGGAGGGTTGGGGTCGAGTCTGGGTCTCCGTATTTAGAGGGGCAAAGGGTGCGCCGGATCTTTGGGCCTGCAGGCCCTCTGCTCACATCTCACCCCCCTCCAGAACGTGCCCCCCGATCTGGCCATCTGTTGCTTTGTCCTGGAGCAGTCGCTGTCCGTCCGAGCCCTGCAGGAGATGCTGGCCAACACTGTGGAGGCCGGCGTGGAGGTGAGGCTCCCCCTGAGCCGATGGGTGGCCAGGGTGGGTGGGAGGACATTCATTTACCATCTGCTCTTCTTCCTCTTTCTGACCCACCCCCACAGGCCCTCAATTTGGATAAGTGGGTAGGTCTGGCCTTGGGTGTCACCTGTCCTTCCCACCTCTTTTGAGCCCGGGTCTGCCTCTTGGGCTCACATCCTGCATATGAGGCTGGGGCTGTGGACCCCAGAACAGGCCAGGAAAGAAGGAAGGAAGGAAGGGAATGGGGGCTTCTGGACCCCCTGTTCCCACTGCCTGCTACTTCCTCCTTTTTCCCTTCCTTTTCCTGACCCTGATCCCAGCTCTTCTCCGCATGGGACCTCTCCCCTCACCTCTCTTATCCCAGGTGTGGGTCCCCTCCAGTCCAGGAGTGGCTCCGCCATGTGATCATGAGGCCCCATCACATGGCCCCCTCAGAGCATGGGCATGTAAGAGCTGGGATGGAAGGCCTGGTGCCATCGAATGACGGGGTGTCACCCCTCAAGCGGGGTGGAGTCTCCTTGTGGCAGCACAGGGCAAGTCTCTGCGGGTGTTGTTCAAATCTTTATCAACTGGCAGGACTGTACCAGTGCACACCAGCTGCTGCCAGCCATGATGCGACAGGTTAGAGTAGAAGGAGCTGAGGTCCATGGAACATGAGATGCTGGGCCTTCCTGGAGTGTCCTCGGTACCTGGAGGAGGGGTCCAGCCTCCCCGAGTGACTCTTGGCAGGGAGGACAGAGTGGGCTCTGGGGAATATAAAACACTCTGTCCACAGGCTTCTCAGAGACAGAGCCCCCACTCCCATGGGTAGGGAAACTGAGTCAGATAATCTGCTACTGGTCTGAGCTGAGGCTTCCTTGCATCCAGGCGTGAGCATGGTATTTAATGGGGATCCTATTCCCACCTGGGATAGGCCAGATGTATTGGGGGTCTGTTCTCACTCTGTGCCCTCCTCCCTCCCCCACACCCCCTGTAGTCATCCCAGGGCGGGGGACACAGGACACTCCTGTATGGCCATGCCATCCTGCTCCGACATGCACACAGCAGCATGGTGAGTGCACCAGTGAGAGGGCAAGGGCAGGGGGCAGGGAGTGCAGTGGCTTCCAGGAAGGAGCTGACCCCCCCGTCTATGATCCTAGTATCTGAGCTGCCTCACTACTTCCCGCTCCATGACCGACAAGCTGGCCTTCGACGTGGGACTGCAGGAGGATGCAACAGGTGGAGGGGCTGGAGGGGGCAGGGTGTGATAGGGACAGGACAGGCAGGAAGTTGGGGTGCAGACCTACAGAATTATAGGGGTAGACATGGAAATGCTCTAGGGGTAACAATGAGGACTTTAGGGCAGAGAGTCTCTGGGTGCAAATGGACAAATTTGGATGGGGAGACTTGGGCAAGCATGGGGGAATCGTAGGCAGAGGGTCTGAGGGCAGGAAGGGGGAACTGAGGCAGAGAGTTGGTGGCAGCAGTAGGAGAATTTGGGGCAGAAGGCTTGGAAGGCTCAGGACTGGGAAGACCTTGGGAAGAGAATTCTGGGCAGCCATCATCCTGAGAACCCTGCCCCCATAGGAGAAGCCTGTTGGTGGACGATGCACCCAGCCTCCAAGCAGAGGTCCGAAGGAGAAAAGGTTCGAGTTGGGGATGACCTCATCCTCGTTAGTGTCTCCTCTGAGCGCTACCTGGTGAGCAACCCCACCCCCCTCGTGGCTACTACTGCCTCCAGGGCTGGAGGCACGTGGGATCCACCCCATCTCCTTATCACTGGTTAGCCTGGTCTCTGGCCCCAAGGTCCTGACTCCCAATTTCCAGTTTCCTGACTCCCAATTCCTGGTTTCTGACACCCCATCTCCTGACTCGATCATGGTTTCCTGATCTGTGACCTCTAATGTTCTGTCTCTCATCTGCCGGTTTCCTGGCTTCCACCTCTGGGTTTTGGCTTCTGCCTCTGGAACTATTGGCCCATCACCACTGTCTCTGACCATCACCTCCTGGTTGCCTTCAGCACTTGTCAACAGCCAGTGGGGAGCTCCAAGTTGATGCCTCCTTCATGCAAACATTGTGGAACATGAACCCCATCTCCTCTGGCTGTGAAGAGGGTGAGGACTCCCATAATTCCGGACCCTAAACTGAGAGCCCCAACATAGACTTCCCACATTGCCGCTCAGATATACCCAAACACAACCTCGTAAACTCAAACCCCAAACTATGACCCTCACACTTAGATATCCAACTGACCCCAAATCTAGAACTCAGGATCAGACTCCCAAACTCAGACCCAGAGTATTGGTCCCCAAAGCTGACATGCCTAATTCAGGTCTTGAAGGCCAGACTCCTAAACTCAGATTTAAGCTTAGAACATCAAATTTGGAGCTTATTCTCAACCCTAAGCCTCAGATGACAAGCACAGATAGCATGTGACCTCAACCCCCAAACCCAGACCCCAAAATTCAAACCCTGATCCCCAAACCAAAACCCCTCACTCAGACTCTAAACCTTAGCTAACCAACCTCAGACCTCCACTTTAACTTCATATCTCCAAAATCATCTCCCAGATTCAGACCCCCATGCTAAGACCCCAAAGCATGGTCCCCAACTTTGACTCTAACTCTCACACCCCAAACCTCAGAGCCCTAAGCCAGACTCAAGCTGAGACTCAAAGGACAGATTCCAAAACTCAGGCCTGAAGTTTGAATCTCAGACTCACCAACTTCCAATTGCAAAGCTCAGACTTCAAAACCTAAACTATAACTTCAGACCCTAAACCTCAGCTACCAGCCTCAGACCTTCAAAATCACACTTAAAATTCAGATCCCAACTTCAGAGCCAACCCTCAAACTTCTAAGACCAAACCCCAGGCCAAACCCTGGAACTTGGACCCCAATATCAGGGAGCATGAGACCCAAATCTCTAACCCCAATCTCAAATATCCAAACTCAGACCCCAGCTCTGCACATCCAGACCCTCAAACTTAGATCCCCAACCTGAGACCCCAAATCACATACCTCCACTTCAGACTTCAAACTTAGCCTAAATCTCAGACTCCACTTCATATCCAGAAACTCGATCTTTAACTGCAGACCCCCAACCCAGGCCCCAGCCTCCCACGGGGGTTAAACAGGCCCCTGGATTCCCCTTTGGCTCCCAGGTTTGTCTGGAGCACCAGCCCCACAGTGATCATCTTTCCTTGCTCATCTGCAGGCTGTGTGACCGGGGGCCATGTCCTCCGCCTCTTTCATGGACACATGGATGAGTGTCTGACCATTTCCCCTGCTGACAGTGATGACCAGCGCAGGTCTGGATGGGGGACAAGAGGGCATGGGGTTTCAGGGTGGGGGCAGGGAGGAGTGCAAAGGTCAGTTGGGGGGCTGGGGCCCTATGGGAAGGGTTAGGGATCAGATTCTGGGGGACTGGAACCTGAACCCCTGACCTCACTCTCTCCCACGTCCCCAGGCTTGTCCACTATGAGGGGGGAGCTGTGTGTACCCACGCCCGCTCCCTCTGGAGATTGGAGCCTCTGAGAATCAGGTGGGGGCATTGGGTTGAGCTGGGGGAGGGGACTGGGTCTGGGGGGGCGGGTCTGGAAGGGACAAGAGGGAAAAACTGAGGAAGAGACTGGAGGGTTTTGAGGGGAAATCTGGGGAGCCCAAGAGAGCAATGAAGTCCTCAGGGTCCTAGAATTCTGGAGGAAAAGGAGGCCTTGGGGGTTGTGGGGGTGCTGAGGGAGAGGTCAGAGGGTTCTGAGTGAAAATGTGGGGAGTGGAGAGGGATAAGATGACAGGTCTGGGAAAACTGGGGGCACTAAAGACATCTGGGGAGCCAAGAAGAAGCTGTGAAGGCCCGAGAGGAGATTATTAGGGTTCCTGAAGGGGGACAGGGGTTTCTAAGAAAGATTTGAGGAAAGTTTGGGGCATCCTGGAAGGGGGCTTGGGGCTTGAGGAGGTTTGAACTAAGACCATGGTCTCCATGGGAGGATCGGGGCTGGTCTCTGACCATCTTGCCCTCACCGTCCACAGCTGGAGTGGGAGCCACCTTCGCTGGGGCCAGCCGCTTCGCATCCGCCATGTCACCACGGGGCGGTACTTGGCACTCACTGAGGACCAGGGTCTGGTGGTGGTTGATGCCAGCAAGGCCCACACCAAGGCCACCTCCTTCTGCTTCCGCATCTCCAAGGTCGGTGGGGTCAGAGTGCCCTCTCTCACCTGGAGCCCCAAATTCCACCCCAGCAGTCTCTCAGTGGGGCTCCCCTACTAACTGCACAGCAGAGGAGCTAACCTCTGTCCCCTGCCCCTGCAGGAGAAGCTGGATGTGGCCCCCAAGCGGGACGTGGAAGGCATGGGTCCCCCTGAGATCAAGTATGGGGAGTCGCTGTGTTTTGTGCAGCATGTGGCCTCAGGCCTGTGGCTCACCTATGCTGCTCCGGACCCCAAGGCTCTGCGGCTCGGAGTGCTCAAGAAGAAGGTGGGCACCTGGCAAGGAGAGGAAGGAGACTGGGGGGTGGGGGGAGGGTTCATGCTTGAGCCTTCAGGAGTTTGAAGATGGGATGAGAGAAATATGCAGGCTGAGAGAGAAACTAAGATTGAGAAAGAGGAAAAAATGAAGAGAAATCTATATTGCTAATACATATGGAGAAGAAGAGAGAGTGAAATATAGATAGAGACAGGGAAAGGCAGAGATTAAAAAACTATGGAGACAGAAAAATAGAGAAAGACAGAGAGACAGAGATGGAAAAGACAGAGAGTGACAAGCAGACTGAGAATGACATTCAACAAATTAATGAGTATCCAAGTTGTTTTGGATGGATGTGTGTGTGTGTGTGTGTGTGTGTGTGTGTGTGTAAATATAGGCCAGCTATACAGACTTGTTCCCAGCCCTTCCCCTCGCGCCCCCCCCCCCCATTGCTCAGAAATGGTGAATAAACTGCTTTTAATGAAGTACATAGCTATATAACTGAAGAGTGGGAAAGCTACTTTTGACAGAGGGAAGAACATGTGTAAAGGCCCTAAGGTTGGAATGAGGTTGGTTTGTTGCAATAACAGAAAGAAAATCCAGTTTGGCCAGAGCAGAGTGAGTGAGGGCCAAGTAGAGGGGCAAGGTGAGGACAGAGAGGAGATGGGAGCAGATGGTGTAGGCCTTGTGGTAATGGGGAGGGTCCTGGCTTTTGCCTCTACCTTGCATGAGATGGAGCCACAGAGTGTTTTGGTTCCTTAGCTGCTTTCAGGAACAGATTGTGGGTGGTGGGATTTGGGGTGCAGAGCTGGAGTAGAAAGACCGGGAGAAGATTGCTGGGAGGGTATAGGTGGTAGATGACAGAGGACAGAACAGGGTGGGGACTGTGGAGTGGGGAAACATGGTGGATTCTGGTTGTATTTTGAGGGTTGAGCCAACAGGATTTTCTGACAGATTGGGTATCGGGACAAGAGAGATAGGGGTTGGGGTGATGCAATGATTTTTACCCTGAGCAACCAAAAGGATGGAAGTGCCATTAACCAAGTTAGGGACAGTCAAGTGTCAGCTCAGGAGGACAGGGATCTAAAGTTTTAGCTCCAATGTCTATAACAGCGTCACTCAATAAAGACTTGCTGAGTGGGAAGACTAGGGACGCACCTGTTTGCAAGAAGAACAAGGTTTGTAGTTGGAAGCATGAGTGGAGGATGATATTCACAGCCACAGGACTAGAGGTCAGCTCAGGGGAAAGCTGGCACTGTGATGGCCTTATTCACAGAAGGTGTCAGGCTTTCTGTCTGGGACATATTAAGTTTGGGGTGCTGCTATAGTGCTCCGATGGGGGAATGTTAAGGCATTAGTAGATACAAGTGGAGAGGGTCTGGCCTGGAGACAGACAAGAAAGAGACAGAGAAAGACAGAGAAGGAGAGACAGGGAAAATGAGACCAAAGTGTGCAATAGAGATAAGATCAAGAGAGGGAGAGAGAGAGAGAGAGAGAGAGAGAGAGAGAGAGAGAGAGAGAGATAAAGAGGGCTGGAAGGGGAGGACTGGCAGAGAGATTGGGTGGAGAAAGCAGGCAGCTTTGGGCGCTAGAATCTAGGGAGCAAGGCCCCCTCCTGACTTCTCTGTCCTCCGACCGCCAGGCCATGCTGCACCAGGAAGGCCACATGGATGACGCTCTGTCACTGACCCGCTGCCAGCAGGAGGAGTCCCAGGCTGCCCGCATGATCTACAGCACTGCTGGCCTGTACAACCAGTTCATCAAGTGAGCGATCTGCCCTCTCTGCCGGGTGCCAGGCCATACCTTGACCCCCATGCTCCTGGCGTTCAGGCACCTGACCCCGTGAATCTCTGCCTCTGACATCCACATCCCTGCCAACATCCACATGACCACTAACCCCTAAACTCGACCTTTATATACTTGGTCCCTAATCTGACTGAGCGTTTCTGACCATCACCTTTCAAACCCCTGACGCCCAGACCCTTGACCCTGGACCTCCCAACTCCGACTCCTGTTTCCACCATCCCTGTGCCTACACAGGCATGAGTCCTAGTTCCAGCTCTGCCCTTGGCCACGCATAACCTCCGGCCAAGGCCCTTCCTCGTCTTTCTGCATATCCGTCTCCCTCTCTGTTAATAGGTGTGTCTGTGGGAGTCCTGCAGGGCGGGGGTGGGGGGACTCCCGCACCCATGGTCGGCACTCGGCCCCTGGCGAACGAGTGCGCGATCCCACAGGGGCCTGGACAGCTTCAGCGGGAAGCCGCGGGGCTCGGGGCCGCCGGCTGGCACCGCGCTGCCCATCGAGGGCGTCGTCCTGAGCCTGCAGGACCTCATCGGCTACTTCGAGCCGCCCTCCGAGGAGCTGCAGCACGAGGAGAAGCAAAGCAAGCTGCGCAGCCTGCGCAACCGGCAGAGCCTCTTCCAAGAGGAGGTGCGGGCGCGGGGCGGGCCTGCGGTCCGGCCGGAGGGCGGGCGGGGCCTCGAGGGCGAGGTCTCCGGCGGAGCGAGGGCGGGTCCGTGCGAGCGGGAGGGAACCCGTGGAGTGAGGGGCCGACCTTGTTCCCTCACCGGGAAGGAGGGGCCGGGCCCTGGGGAAGGCCTGAGGAGTCCGAGGATAAACGCCCAGGGGCTGCGGACTCAGGGGTGGTGTCTGTGGGGACGCAGCCTGTGGGGTGAGAGGACGGAACCGGTGGGGCGTGGGGGCCGAGCAGGGGCAGAGGTGGGTCTTTGGGAGACTGGGAGGGCAGTTAGGGCGAAAACTCAGATGGGGTCGGGGCTAGGAGTTTGGGTTATGGGAGCCCGAGGGGAGGAGCTGTGGGGTCTGAGTGGGAAGGGCTGAGCACAGTTGGAAGAGGGGGCTGGACCAAGGTGGGCGTCTGATACATGGTGATGGGGATGCATGTTCATTCAAAGGTTGACAACTTGGTCCCCTCCTCTCCAGGGGTTCCCAGTCTGATGGGGGAGGCAGACATAGAAATGATAATAGTAACAATAACAAAACTTACTTATGGAGTAGTTAGTATATGCAGTCCTTGAACAGGGCCAGTAAATAATAGATGCTATATAAAAGTGTTAGTGGTTATTTTACCTTGAATTTAGCCCTCACTGTGTATTAAGAACACTATGTACATGACATCCTCTAATAACTCCATGGGGGATTGTAATTCCCATATTACAGATGGGTCTCTGAAGGGCAACAAATATGCCAGGGGATATGGCTGTCAACAAAACAGACAAAATGCCCGTTTTTACGGAGTTGACGTGGGAGGAGGATAGATGATCAATAAAATAAAAAAATTATTCTTTGGCCAAGTAGCTCAGTTGGTTAGAGCATCATCCCGATACACCAAGGTTATGGGTTTAATCCCCAGGCTGGGCACATATAAGAATCAATCAATCAATACATAAGTGGAACAACAAATTGATGTGTTTTTCCTTCTCTCTCCCTTCCTCTCTAAAATAAATAAACACATAAAATAAAAATTTTATATGGTATGGTGGCAAGGGCTAAGGAGAAAAATAAAGCAGGGCAGCAGTAGGCAGTGCTGGGAGTGGTGCAATTTAAAATTCAGTAGAATGCTCAAGGCGGGTGACCTGAGCGAAGGGAGGCAGCCATATGCATACCTGGAGGAGCTAGTGGCAGAGCCAGTCTAGGTGACTCCAGCCTGGTTATGCTCTGAACCACATGCACTGCCTCTCTTACTAGTGCGATGGGCCCCAGGATATAGATAAAACAGTTGTCATAGTAGCATTACTGGTAACAGCCTAACACTAGAAACAGCTCAAATATCCACCACTAGAATGGATCCACAAATGTGTCATATCCATAAAATGGATATGGATACACTCAGCAATGCAAAGGAACAAACCAAACGATAGTCAGATGCAACAATGTTCTTGCATCTTAAACTATAACATTGAGCAAAATAATCCATGTACAAAAGAATACTTTCTGTATATTCCAAGTTCAGGCAAAAGTCAATTAAAAAATTAAGGAAAAGATTTTCATAAAAGTCAGGATGATGGTTTATTCCTAGCAGCAAGGGTTGTGTAATCAGAAAGGGCATCCAGGCGACTCCTGGCTGGCTGGCAATGTTCTCTTTCTTGACCTGGGTCATGGTGCCATAGCTATTCTTGATATTGGTTTGGTAAAACATATACTTTGGTCTTTGTTATTCACAGATTCTGTATTTTCAATTTGCCTACCTGCTAAAGTTTATTTGTATTACCCTAATCAGTACTAGAGCACACGTGTGGCCTTGTGCAGTGGTAAGAAATTTCAGTCACATGTAGCCAGCTGAGGTGGAACAAGGCCATGCTCCGCTTTCATCTCCTTTTTTTTAAAAATCCTCACTCCAGGATATATTTTTTTAAACTGATTTTGACAGAGAGAGGGAGAGAGGGAGAGAGGGAGAGAAACATCTATTGCTCCAACCAACTAAGCCACACTGTCGAGGGCACACTCTGTTTTCTTGTTTCACGTCTCATGTTATAAACAAGTGTCCTTTTTGTCACATATTTGGTGCCATATTTTTTTGCATTTTTGTTGATTTTGCTGCTTAAAATGGGCCCTAAGTGTAGTGTTGAAGCACAAGAAATCTGGGAGGTGCCTTACTGAGAAAATACATATTAGATGAGCTTCATTCAGGAATGAGTTATTGTTGATTCTTAATGTTAATGAATCAATAATATATATTAAATCAGTGTTTTTAAACAGAAATGCACATAAAACAGAGTGTATATTGGTTGATTGATGAAATTGTTGTGACTAAATAGAGGAACTGCCTGTGTTTCCCCTGGGAGTCATGGTTCGGGATTCTCTAACTCAGTGTTCATAGGGACGTTACAGAACTTAAATATCATGAGTAACAATTGACTGTATATGTTTTATTTGCTTTTCTATGTGTCTGTTATAATTCACAATAAAAAAGACAGAAGATTAAAATGTAAAACAACAACACAGTCTCTCTGATGGTCAGTGTGGAGAGTGAACTGGGCCAACTGGGACCAGGAATGGGGTGCTTGGAAGTGAAAAGGATGGAAAGAAAACTGTGGGAAAGAGAAGCACAAATTCAGCCCTGAGGCTTATAAGGCTGTATTATGTTGGGGACAGAGACACAGAAGACAGGACTGATCTGGGGAGCCAAGAAGGAGAGGGGGGTGATGGGAGTGAAGGGGGACATGAGCTATTCGTGCTGGTGTAGACCTGGGAACTAACAGTCACTAGCTGTTGAAACGTAAATTAGTAAATCCAAGAAAAGCAAGGAAGGGAGGACTTGGAACTCCTGTGGTGACCCTTGTTTTCCCCACCTCAGGGGATGCTCTCCCTGGTCCTGAATTGCATTGACCGCCTAAATGTCTACACCACCGCTGCTCACTTCGCAGAATTTGCCGGGGAGGAGGCAGCCGAGTCCTGGAAAGAGATTGTGAACCTGCTCTACGAACTCCTGGGTAAAGGGGCCTAGTTATGACTTCCCCTGGAACTCCACAGGTCCCCAGTACTGTTGGGTCTAACCCATCTCTCCACCTTCAGCCTCTCTGATCCGTGGCAATCGTACCAATTGTGCCCTCTTCTCCAACAATTTGGATTGGTTGGTCAGCAAGCTGGATAGGCTGGAAGCCTCATCTGGTAGGAGAGCTCATGGGAAGAGACAGGGGTTTGGGGGAGGGAAGGGCCACAGCCACCTCACCTCACATTCTGCTAACCGTGCAGGAATCCTAGAGGTGCTGTACTGTGTCCTGATTGAGAGTCCTGAAGTCTTAAATATCATCCAAGAGAACCACATCAAGTCCATCATCTCCCTTCTGGACAAGCATGGGAGGAACCACAAGGTTAGCCCTCACCCCTGACTTCTCATCCCCTTGACTCTGAACCCTGGCCCCATGGCCCCAGAACTCTCCACTACCCTCACTCTCCTCCCCCATCGTATCTCTTACCTGGATTCCTCTTCCATATGCTTTCATCTTTTTAAAAAATATACTTTATTTTTGTTGATTTCAGAGAAGAAGAGAGAGGGAGAGAGAGAGAGAAACATCAATGATGAAAGAGAACCATTTATCAGATGCCTCCTGCACACCCCCTACTGAGAATTGAGCCCACAACCCGGACATGTGCCCTTGACTGGAATCGAACGCGGGACCCTTCAGTCCCCATGCCGACACTCTATCCACTGAGACAAACTGGCTATGGCCCATATGCTTCCATTTTAACATAAGGCCTCTAACTCATGGCTCTGAAATGAATTCTGGGCCAGACATGTGCTTCATTTGATCTATAAAATGCTTTTTAAATTTTTTATAATTTTTCAATTTTATAGTCTTTGGTGCAGTGCATACACACTCTCCACTTTGCCACAGGTCCTACCTGCATTATTTCTAACCACATCACAGATTTACATTACCCGTCTGGGAACTCACAGTCAATAGTTGTTGAAGAAATATAAATTAGTAAATCCAAGAAAGGCAAGGAAGGGAGGGCCTGGGACTCCTGTGGTGCCCCCTTGATTTTCCCACCTCAGGGGATGCTCTCCCTGGTCCTGAATTGCATTGACCGCCTAAATGTCTACACCACCGCTGCTCACTTCACAGAATTTGCTGGGGTGGAGGCAGACACTAGTTTGCAACCCCTGCCAATCTCAAATCTCACCCTGACCCCTGCACTCTCTCCCTAATATAGCCCTTTCTCTCTTTCCCTGACCTTTTCCTTCTAATATCTTACTTCAGACACTCATTTTTTACATTGCTGATGCTTTATCCCAACTCATATGGCCCCTACCGTCTCACCTGACCTTTCTGTTTCTCTGTGACCCCGGATATCCCACTTTCTCTACTTCCTCTCAGTCAAAATGTCCGTTACCTATTCTGACATACCACCCTTGGATTCCTGCCCTGGTGCCTTACATCATGATCTCTGACCTTGACCTCCAGGTGCTGGACGTGCTGTGTTCCCTGTGTGTGTGTAATGGCGTGGCTGTGCGCTCCAATCAAGATCTCATTACCGAGAACTTGCTCCCTGGCCGTGAGCTTCTGCTGCAGACAAACCTCATCAACTATGTCACCAGGTCTGACCCCTAACACCTGAACCGACCCTGACCTCACCCTGACTAAGAGACTCTACACCATGTGGCTGTCTCTTCCTCTGTCTCCCACCCTGGACTTAACACCTGGTCCTCACAGTTGTCTGCTCTTGCCCCAGCTCACCTGGCTCTCCACTCTTGTCCTCTGTCCCTTCTCCATTTCTGCATCGGTCTTTTCCTTTCACTCTCTGTTTCTGTCTCTCTCTATTTCTCCTCCACATCTTTCCCCCATCTCTCCCTTCTCTCTGTCTTTGGTGTCTCTCTGTCTGTTTCTGTCTCTGCTTGTTCTCCCTTTGTCTGTTCGTATTCCCTGCCTTCATGCCTCTGCTTCTCTGTTTTTCCTGTGTATATATCTCTTTTTCTGTCTCTGTCTCTTTGCCTCTCTCCCTCCACCCCTGCAATAACCTGGCTCTCCTCTCCACCTCTCCTTCATCCCCCACTCTTTTCCCCTCTCTCCTACAGCATCCGCCCCAACATCTTTGTGGGCCGAGCAGAGGGCTCTACACAGTACGGAAAATGGTACTTTGAGGTGATGGTGGACGAAGTGACTCCATTCCTGACAGCTCAGGCCACCCACCTGCGGGTGGGCTGGGCCCTCACTGAGGGCTACAGCCCTTACCCTGGGGGTGGCGAGGGCTGGGGCGGCAACGGGGTTGGCGATGACCTCTATTCCTACGGCTTCGATGGGCTGCATCTCTGGACAGGTATCTGAACCCTTCTGGGGGATGACCAACCCTGACCATTGACCCTAGAGTTTCCAAGCCTCTCACCGCACACCTTAGAGTTCTTAGAATCCTGACCCCCCAAAACAGGCCAACTTTTGATTCTTTACTCCTCATTTATCATGACCCTCTACCTAGAGGTTCCAGAATCCTGTCCCTAACACATTTCTTCATAGCCTCCAGAACTAGAGATCCCAGAAAACTTCTCAGATTATTATGATCTCTGATTTTGAATTCTGACTCAAAACTTGGTGAATTCAAGTTCCTCCCCCCATCTGTCATCTTCAAGACTGACTTGTCAGCTTAGGTAAAGGTCCCAAATCCTAACTCCAGAAAGACTTTAATCTCTGACCCCACAGCTTTAAGGGTCCTAACCTCAGGGGAGCCTTGATCTCTGCCTGTTGCAGAGCTACAGGAACACTTGACTTTAGAGTTTCCAGGATCCAAACTCCATAAGATCCTCTAATATCCGCCCCTTGTCTCTTGAGATCATTGGTCCCATGGGGCCTCTGATTTCTGACCCCTCCCTGGTGACCCTGGTGCAGGACACGTGGCACGCCCAGTGACTTCCCCAGGTCAGCACCTCCTGGCCCCAGAGGATGTGGTCAGCTGCTGCCTGGACCTCAGTGTTCCATCCATCTCCTTCCGCATCAATGGCTGTCCCGTACAGGGCGTCTTCGAGGCCTTCAACCTTGATGGGCTCTTCTTCCCTGTCGTCAGCTTCTCAGCTGGTGTAAAGTAAGGACTTGCCCCTGTCCCCTTGTCAGCCCCCAGACCTGGGACTGTCCTGAGACAGCTTCTCCAAACACTGCCAACACCCAGCAGCTCATCTTCAAGACTGACTTGTCAGACCCTTAGGTAAAGGTCCCAATGACCTCTACATGACCCCAGACACTTTCAGTGTCCTCCCAATGACCTTAGCTTCTCCCCAACTCCAGGTTCTTTTTGTGACCTTCAAGTGTCCCCAAAATTTCCCAGTGACCTGCTAAAAACTTCAGACTCTTAAATTACCTCAGACTGTCCCAATGACTCTATGCTATTCCAGTGACCTCCAAATGACTCCAGAATATGATGATGATCTTTTAATGACCCCAAAACCTCCCAATAAATCCGCAATGACCTTGGACATTCCTGATGACTCCATACTCTTAAAAACTTCTCAGTGACTCCAACATCTGTCAATGACCTTTCAATCGATTAATCTCCCACTGACCCTGGAGTGACCGCACATATTTCAAAGACCTCTCAATTAGTCAGCCTTTTCCCAATGATCCCCAAGCTCTGTGAATGACTTCCCATTCAGGGGCAATTATGGTTATCTCATAGTTACACCAGATTCTCAGTGACTCCCAAATGACCTTCTTGGTCTCCCAAAAACCTTCCAATATCTCCAAATGCTCTGTTGACCACGAGCCTCCAAAAGACGTTCTGTGACCTTACATTGACTCTCTAAGGACCCCACACTTTCCTTCTTTGACTTTCCAATGATTCCCATTGACCTCAGACATTCTTTTCGACTTTAGAATATCCTTTCTGACTCCTTGTTAACCTTTATCATCCTTTGACTGCCCAGTGATCTCAAGTCTCCCCAAAACCTTCCACCAACCCTAGGATTGCTCCCTTACTGCTACTGAGCACAGACTCTCCCCTGTAACCTCACTCTCCCATCAGGGTACGGTTCCTTCTTGGTGGCCGACATGGTGAATTCAAGTTCCTCCCCCCACCTGGCTATGCCCCATGCCATGAGGCTGTGCTGCCGAGAGAGCGACTCCATCTGGAACCCATCAAGGAGTATCGGCGGGAAGGACCCCGGGGGCCCCACTTGGTGGGCCCAAGCCGCTGCCTTTCACACACCGACTTTGTGCCCTGCCCCGTGGACACTGTCCAGGTAATGCCTGTCCTGCAGGAGTTTCCCAGTGAGGCAGACTCCCTTAGGAGTCAGGGAGGTGGGGAGCTGAGCTGGAAGTTAGGAATCTTGTTTAATAGAGAGGGGAACTAAAGTAGAGAGGAGGAGGCAAAGGACTCTCAAGGCAGACTCCCCATTTCAGGGAGTCCTCACTATAGCCCCCTAAGGAAATGACTATTATTATCCCCAATTTACAGATGTGGGAAAAGAGGCCCAGACAAGTGAAACAATCTGTGCAAGTCACACTGCTGATGTGAACCCAAGCAGTGTGATTCCAAAGCCTGTGATCTGATCCACTACTCTTATCCCAACCTGAACGCCCCACCTTCCCTCCAGGCATGTCCGTGTAGCAGGGGATTTAAGTAGTGTTCAAGAGACTCACCATGCTCTGGCCAGTGTGGCTTAGTTGGTTGGAGCATTGTCCCATATACCAAAAGGTCGTGGGTTAAATCCCTGGTCAGGGCACGTACCTGGTTGCAGGTTCAATCCCCATTGTTGTGAAGAGTGGATAAATTAATAAATGCAAAGTGCTTAGCACATTCCTGAGTAAATAGTAAGTACTCAATATAGTTTCTGTTAGTAGTAGTCATGGTAATATTATTTCAGGGATGAACTTTCTATTCCCCTGTAGCCAGGCCAGAGCCCTGGGCCTCCTTCTTGATCTCTCCCTCCCCAAGCTAGACATCCTCATCCCCTTCCCTCTCCTCCCCACAGCCCACCCTGGGTCAACTATCTCCTGCCCGGAGAACAGCAACAATATAAATATTTATTAGGCACCTACCATGTGCCAGACATTTAGATAAATTACATACATTTAATAATTTATGGAAGTGATTTCACTGAATCCTTATGAGGTATTCATTCAGCAAACATTTCCCAAGCATCTCCTCTGGGCCTGGCTCTGGACTGGGCAGGCCTGGGAAAATGGCAGAAACTGAGGAAGCCCAGGTTCTGTCCTCACGGAGCTTCCAGGACATGGGAGAGACAGACCCATTCCCAGACGATCCCTTAATTCTGATGATGCTAAGTCCTTACTTGGCTGGTGCCAATCCTGGAGTCAGGTCATGGAGATGAGGAGCAGAGCTTGGAATAGCAGAAAAGGTCAGAAGAGCATGCTGGGGGAAACAGCTTGCACATGTTGTCTGGAAGAGGGGTTACAGTGCAAGCTGGAGAGAACTCAGGGGCTCACGGACGTCTTCTGCCCCAGATTGTCCTGCCTCCCCATCTGGAGCGGATTCGGGAGAAGCTGGCAGAGAATATCCATGAACTCTGGGCTCTGACTCGCATTGAGCAGGGCTGGACCTATGGCCCGGTAAGTGACTACCTGCAGCATCAGGCTGGACTTGCTGCAGAGGGGGGCATGGCTCACATGGGAGGGGCCAGTGGCTGAGAGAAGGGCCTTTACAACATAGGGCGAGGGGGGTGTCCTTGGGTTTCCAGTGGCAGAACTAAGGGTGGGAGGCCAGTGGGCACAGTCTGGGAATGTTGGGGGAAGGGAAGAGGGAACCCAGAACTTGACCCTGTGATTTCTCCAGGTTCGGGATGACAATAAGAGGCTGCACCCATGTCTTGTGAACTTCCACAGCCTACCAGAGCCTGAGAGGAATTACAACCTGCAGATGTCGGGGGAGACACTCAAGTGAGGGGGGTCCCGTGGAGCAGGGGCTGGGCCTGATTACTGGTGGGGAGGAGGGCAAGGGGAAACAGGGAGAGTGAAACAGAGACTGAGAGAGAGGGGAAAATGGCAAAAGAAACAGAGAGAGAGAGAGAGAGAGAGAGAGAGGCAGAAACTGACATAGGGCAAGAAAGAGAGATAGAGGCAGAAGGCAAGATAATCAAGAAGAGATAGACAGACAGACAGACAGAAACAGAGAGAGGGACAGAAAGAGGCAGAGGGGAAAATGGACAGTCAAGAGATACAGAGAAAGAAACAGGGAAAGACAGGAGTCAGAGAGACAGAGACTAAGACAGAGAGGTGGGAACAAAAACACCCAAGAGGCTGGGGAAAAGATACGAAGAGAGCTGGAGACCTAGAGACGGAGGCAACAGGGGCTGCAGGAGAGGGACACGGGGCAGGGGACTAGGTGGGGTGACCCTGTACCCCCGCCCTCCACCCCAGGACTCTGCTGGCTCTGGGCTGCCACGTGGGCATGGCAGACGAGAAGGCGGAGGACAACCTGAAGAAGACAAAACTCCCGAAGACGTGAGTGTGGGTGGCCTGGGTCCCACTGGGGAATAGAGTATGGGGCTGGCATGACTGAGGGATCTTGTGGGGAGACTGGGATCAGAGAAGAAAGGGCCATGGGTTGAAGATCATAGGCTCAGGGGTCAGGGTTCTGCAGTCAGTGGTGAGTGTCTTGGGAGGTGTCAGGATTTTGGAGTTTAGGAGTTATAGAGGGAGAATAGAAGCATGTCGGGCCCCAGGGGTTATATTCAGAGGTTAGATCTCTAAGTTAGAGGTCAGGAATCAATGGAAAGAGGTGAGACGTTGTAAGGGATCCTAAAATTATAGGTGAGAGGTCCTGGGGATAGAGACCAGGGTTCAGAGGTCAAGGGCTCCAAGCTAGGAGTCTGGAGCAGAAGATCTTGGGGTTAGAGGTAAGAAACCTCAAAGTTAGAGGTGAGAGGTCAGAGCATTCCAAGGTTAGAGATGAGGCTCCCAGAATCAAGATAGAGTCAGAGAAGCCAGAGGTCAGTGAAATCAAAGCTTTTGCTAGGGTCACAGGATCCTGGGGTTAAAGGTCAAGCATCTCCAAGATTATTCAGGGAGTCATACAACCCTAATGTCAAAGATCAAAGGTCAGAAATTCCAAGATTCGTGGCCCCTGGGATCCTGGAGACAAGGATCAGTTCAGAGTCAGGGATCCCATAGCACTGAACTTATATACCGGTGCCACCACACCTGTAGGTATATGATGAGCAATGGGTACAAACCAGCGCCGCTGGACCTGAGCCACGTGCGGCTAACGCCAGCACAGACGACACTGGTGGACCGGCTGGCAGAGAATGGGCACAATGTGTGGGCCCGCGACCGTGTGGCCCAGGGCTGGAGCTACAGTGCTGTGCAGGACATCCCTGCACGCCGAAACCCTCGCCTGGTGCCCTACCGCCTGTTGGATGAGGCCACCAAGCGCAGCAACAGGGACAGCCTCTGCCAAGCTGTGCGCACCCTGCTGGGTTATGGCTACAACATTGAGCCGCCTGACCAGGAGCCCAGTGAGTGTTGACCTCTGGCCCCCAGCCCTGACCCCTGATCTCTGAGCCAACTCAACCTCTGAATGGGCTACATCTACAATACTGAACCCCTACCCCTAACTGTGACCTTTATTCTGACCCCAACCCTGAACTGGATCTTAACCACTGACCTTGACCTAATGCAAACTCTGCCTGGGCTATGACTGCATCACTGAGCCACCAGACCAGGAGCCCAGTGAGCACTGACCCTGACCCCAGACTCCAATCCCTGACCCCCAGATATGATCCTTAATCCCTAACCTCTGGACTATAGCTAATACATGGAGTCACCCAATCAAGATCTCAGAGACCCCTAACTTGACCCCTGACCCACTGCTTTCCTCTAATAGCAGCCTTGACCCCTAACCCTTATGGTCCCCAACCTTAAACTTCTCAACCCCTTGTCCCAACCCCAATTTCTATTTCCTCTCTGACCCTAACTCTTTCTCTCATGGGGTCATGGATACACATGTGGGGAAAGATGGGGACACTGTGGGGATGACCACTGCTTTGTCCCACATGCCCTGAACCTGACACCTTGATCCAGCTCTCAACACTTGATTCTAAACATCAACTTTAATCTTGATCCTTAGCCCCGGACTATCACCATGATTGACCTGACTTTCTCCCTCTATGTCTCTGTCAGTATCTCTTCTCTGAGAGCTCTGACTGCTAAAGACAGTAAGGGAGAAGTTTCACTCAGTAGGTCCCTTCTACCTTTCTTTGTCTAGTCCGAGATTCCCCAGTTCTTCTCCTCTAACACCAAACATTTGTCCCTCTTCTCCCAGCCTTACCTTCGCTGGTTTCTCCCACCATCCTCTCATTGTCTTTGTATCCACTCCGCATGCAGCATATTTGACTCTGCCTGGCCCCATTTGTAGGTCTGGTAGAGAGCCAGTCCCGTTGGGATCGAGTGCGCATCTTCCGGGCAGAGAAATCCTATGCGGTGCAGAGTGGTCGCTGGTACTTCGAGTTTGAGGCAGTCACCACAGGCGAGATGCGAGTGGGCTGGGCGAGGCCCGAGCTGCGGCCTGACGTGGAGTTGGGAGCTGATGAGCTGGCCTATGTCTTCAACGGGCATCGCGTGGGTAGTTCCCTGGGCTCCACTCTGCCATGTCCTGTAGTCCCTCCCACAGCTCATATACGTCAGCCCTGCCTCTATCCGTGCCCCACTCTCTCCACCCATCCCTACATCTACCTTACTACTCACCCATTCATCCACCCATCTATCCTTCCCTCTTTCTCTGTCCATACATATATCTACCCATGATCCATCTCTCTATCCAACTATCCATTCACAAATCCAACTCTCTATCCATCTAATTGTCTGTCCAGATAATCACTTAACCATTCACTTTTCCACCTTATTTATTTGTTAATTTAGCCACTCACCTATTTAATCAATTTGCAATTTCATTTATCCATTCATCTATTCAATAATTTAGTATGTGGAACCATTAAGTCATTTAAAAATATTATTTATTTAAGAGAGGAAGGGAGAGGAAGAGAGGGATAGAAACATCAATGATGAGAAAGAATCATTGATTAGCTGCCTCTTGCACACCCCACTCTGGGGATCGAGCTCACAACCCTGGCATGTGCCCTGACTGGGAATCAAACCATAACCTCCAGGTTCATAGGTCGACGCTCAACCACTGAGCCATGCCAGCCGGGCTCCATCAATTCATTTATTTATCCATCCAACAACTCATGTAATCATCCATTTATCTATTTGTCTATACTTTCTTCCTTCCCTGCATCAACGCATGGACTCAGTAGAGAACCTAAGCAGAAGGGAAGCAAAAGCATAAAAGCCCGCCCTTACATTCCAGGGGTCATGGATACACATGCGGGGAAAGATGGGGACACTGTGGGGATGACCACTGCTTTGTCCCACATGCCCTGAACCTGACACCTTGTAATGTGTATGTTTACATGTCTCTCCTTGCTTTCTTATGTCTCCATTTCTTTGCATGCCTCTCCCATGCCACGTCTTCCCCTTGCCTCCTCACAGGGCCAGCGCTGGCACTTGGGCAGTGAACCATTTGGGCGTCACTGGCAGTCAGGTGATGTTGTGGGCTGCATGATTGACCTCACAGAGAACACCATTATCTTCACCCTCAATGGCGAGATCCTCATGTCCGATTCAGGTTCCGAAACAGCCTTCCGCGATATTGAGATTGGCGATGGTGAGGGTTGGCCTCATGGCCCCTTTCTGGTTTTCTTCTGTGTGACCTGACCCTATACTGCCCGTTCCAGCCTCCCCCTCTTGCATCCTTTCCTTCCACATTACCCCTCCCCACAAGTCCCTGCCCTGCCCACCTATCTCACCTCTGCCCATTCACGCCCTCCCACCAGGTTTCCTGCCGGTCTGTAGCTTGGGACCCGGCCAGGTGGGTCATCTGAACCTGGGCCAGGATGTGAGCTCCCTGCGGTTCTTTGCCATCTGCGGTCTTCAGGAAGGCTTTGAGCCATTTGCCATCAACATGCAACGCCCGGTCACCACCTGGTTCAGCAAAAGCCTTCCCCAGTTTGAGGCCGTGCCACTTGAGCACCCCCACTATGAGGTGAGGACTGACCCCATTCAATACCTTCTGATCTGCTTCCAGACCTCATTTTCCCTGCAATTCTCTTCCCTGAGTTTTTCCTTTCCTTCCGTGTTAGCTGACAAACCATGCACAAGGGGGTGTCAGGGTGATGGGTTCCCAGGGCCACCTTGTAGGGTATAACCTTGGCAAACTACAACCTTTCTCAGCTCCAGGTATCTTGCCTATAAAATGGGGAAATGGAGGAAAGAGAAGCTGGATAAATGATTCCATTGGAAATTTCCAGTCTTTTAACTATTTGATCATAGAACAAAGTTTAAAGAAATATAAACCTTGAGTACATTTTGGCACCCTCCTTACCAATTGTTATTTGTCTTTTCTGTTTGTTCATTTATTTGTTTTTAGTATCCTAATTTTTAAAAATATATTTTTATTGATTTCAAAGAGGAAAGGAGAGGGATAGAGAGATAGAAATATCAATGATGAGAATCATTGATTGGCTGCCTCTTGCACGCCCCCTACTGGGGGTCGAGCCTGCAACTTGGGCATATGCCCTTGACCAGAATCAGTCCCCAAGCCTACGCTCCGTTTCTGAGCCAAACCAGCTGGGGCTAGTATCCTAATTTTTAGACTCCAGTGTCTTTTCTTTCCCAGGGTTGAACTCAGGGTCAGACTCTTACCATAAATACCCCCCATTGACCACAGTGATAGTCCGTTTCTCAACCTGGGAAGAACTTGAATCCTATGTGACTGAGGTTTAGCTTTAGAATCAGACAGAGCTGGAGCTGGCCTCTTACACTGGGCAAATGACTGTCTCTTCCTGAGCCCCAGTTTTCCCATCCATGGCATTGTTCGGATCTCCCTCTCACACAATCTCCCTCTTTTTTTTACTGAATCCTTTGAGTAAGTTGGAGACATCATGACTCTTTACCCCTAAACTTTCAATATGCATTTCTTCAGAACAGACTATGCTCTTACAGTACATGCAGTGCAGTTATGAAAATCAGGAAATTTAACGCTGGTATAACTATCACCTAATTCACAACCCATATTTAAAATTTATAAATTGTGGCAATAATGTCCCTTTTTATTTTTCTGGTTTAGGATCCAATCAGGATTACATATGGCATTTAGTTGCTATGCTTTTAGTCTTAAAATAGAATGTTTCTGAGCCTTTTTTTGTCTTTCATGACATTGACATTTTGAAGTGTACAAGCCAGTTATTTTGCAGAATGTCCCTCAGTTCAGGTTTGTCTGATGATTCCTCATGGTTAGGTTCAGGTGCTGGGTACTTGGCAGGGGTTCTGCAACATTTATGTTGTGTAGGCTATCAGGAGGCACACGATGTTTCTGTATCTTATATCAACGTCGACTCTGTAGTTAAGGTGGAGTCTGACAGTTCCCCCACTGTAAAGTCACTCTCTTTCTATTTGTAATTACGAAGTCTTTGTGGGGAGGCATTTTAAGACTACATAAAAGTTGAAGAGTTTTAAACAGGGAAATTTTAGATTTCCTCAGTTTAGATTTGAGCTTTGGAAAGGTTCCTATTGACAGTAGAAGGTGAGAGTGGAGACAGACTAGAGAGGTGGCTGGGGCAGGAGAAGGTGATGGAGTAGCCGTGAACTTCCCAATTCCTGCCACTGCCAATGGTCTTCACAACACAAAGACCAGAATACCAGATAGCAGTGAAAGTGAGCAACGTAGTATATACACAGCATGTGGACAAATCTCACAGACATAGTGTGAGTGAAAGAGCCAGGCACAAAAGAACACATACTGTAGGGTCCCATTTGTAGGAAGTTCAAGAACAGGCAAAGCTAATCTGTGCTGTGATAAATCAGGAGGCTGTTACTGTGAAAGAATAACTTGGACATTTAGTTACTTTGCACACAAATCACAGGAGGGAGAGGTCAGTAGACTGTTGTCAAGGAGCAAAGTCCAGGATTTATAAGGACGGGAAGAGAGAGAAGATCCTGCCTTCAGTCTGGGGACAGCAAATCTTTGTTTCACAGTTTGGGGTGAATTCTCTTTTTAAATTTTAAAAATTGATTTGAGAGAGAGAAGCATCCTCCCACACTGGTCCCAACTGGCCCCAGTATACGCCCTGACTGGGATTCGAACCCGTCACCTTTCGGTGTACAGGGCAATGCTCCAACCAACTGAGCCACACCAGCCAGGGCTTGAGGTGAATTCTTTGGCTGGTGAGGAGCACAGAGGTCCATCTCAGCAGCTGGTCCTTCAGGAGGTCACCTTGAGAGGGGCATCAAAGAAAGGGAACCTCTCCAATTATTGATGGAGTCTCCAGAAAACTTTTTTTGTTCTTATGTATTTTTAAATAAGATTACAATGCTTTGATTATACAACATAGCATAATGGAAATTAAACCAAGTCAATAAACCAAAAGAGGAAGAAAACGTGGTTTTCTTCAATATCAGTACTTAAATCATCACTATAACTGTCTGATGTCCCAATCACATCTTATGTAGACATGAATATAATCATTTCAAACATTTCGCTTGCAGGTTTAATTTCTCATTTTCAGCTTTTATGAACTATAATATAACTAATTTTCAATCCTATGATACCTAGTGTTTATACTGCAACAGCAGCAAATCTCACATGTGCAATCAAATGATTAACCGGGACACAGATTTTAGTTTTTAGCCGCAGACAAAAATTACACACTGTATTCAGTACAGCAGAGTATATTACATTAACCAGAGCATGGAGTTTCATACACTTATTGCAGGATTGGTATTTCTTTCCCTTTGAACTGAATCAGAAAACTTTTTAAAAAAATATATTTTTATTGATTTCAGAGGAGAAGGGAGAGGGAGAGAGAGATAGAAACATCAATGATGAGAAAGAATCATTGATTGGCTGCCTCCTGCACGCCCCTCAATGGGGATCGAGCCCGCAACCCCGGGCATGTGCCCTTGACCAGAAGGGAACCCAGGACCTTTCAGTCCGCAGGCCAACACTCTATCCACTGAGCCAAACTGGTTAGGGCTGAATCAGAAAACTTTGAGAATCTGTACTTGGAGCGCACAGGACAGGCATCTGTCCCTCTACCTGCTTTTATCCCTTATTTAGGCCAGGTAGGTGCATCTCCCTCATCAGAAACTCGCATGGTCTTTGAGAGGGTAGTGACTAAACAGGCACTGAGGGGGCTCCTGGAGGCGTGGTTGTGTTGTTTCTCCTTCTGGGTGCTGGGCACACAGGTGTGTTCACTCAGAAAACTCAAGGTGCTATGCCCTTATGATGTGTGCACTTCTCTGAGTGTTATGTTTCCACTCATAAGTGTAACAAATTTTTTCTGGGGCACCTTTACAAAACCCTGGGCTGCTCTCCCCACGAGGTCTCCCTGAGAGATCAGGATGGCAAAACCTTTGTTCTGTTCACTGCTGTGTTCCCAGAATCTGTAACAGTGCCTGATATACAGTAGGTACTCAGTAAATATCTGTGGGTTGGACAGATGGATGGACCGGTGGACAAGTGGACGGGTGGATGGACAGATAGACAGACGGACAGGTATATGGACGAATGAATGAGTGGACAGGTGGACGGTTGGATGGACGAGTAGATGGATGGATGGGTGGATGGGTGACTTGGTCTGGATTAAGGCCTGTGCATAGGTAGGTTTTTTATAATCCTCACTGGAGGAGATTCTTTCCATTGATTTCTAGAGAGAGCAGAAGGGAGGGAGGAGGGGGAGAGAGAGAGAAAGAGAGAGACACATCGATTGGTTGCCTCCCACACATGCCCCCCCCTCCCAGGGCTGGGGAACCTGCAACTAAGGTACATGCCCTTGACAGGGAATCGAACCCAGAACTCTTCCATCCACAGGCTGATGCTCTGACCACTGAGCCAAACCTGTCATGGCTATAGGTAGGTTTTGAAAGTGATCCCAGTGCCTGACCAGGGCTGCCACTGTACCAGGTGCCCAGACAAAGGTTGACAGAGGGCTGACTGCACCCCATGGCCAAACTGTGTGCCCATGGGGAGTTTATCCACCCAGAGGAGGGGATACTTTTGGCTGATTCTCACACAGGTGCTCTAAGGCCTAATGGCGGCTCCGTGTGTACCTGGGTTTAGGACCAATGGCCTAGCGGCTAGGCCCTAGCCCACCTATCAGGCTCAGTGCTTCCTGCCTCTCCCTGCAGGTGGCCCGTGTGGATGGCACTGTGGATACACCCCCCTGCCTGCGCCTGACCCACCGAACCTGGGGCTCCCAGAACAGTCTGGTGGAGATGCTCTTTCTTCGCCTGAGCCTTCCAGTCCAGTTCCATCAGCACTTCCGCTGCACTGCGGGGGCCACCCCTCTGGCATCCCCTGGCCTGCAGCCCCCTGCTGAGGATGAAGCCTGGGCAGCAGAGCCTGACACAGACTATGAAAACCTGCGCCGCTCAGCTGGGCGCTGGGGTGAAGCTGAGGGGGGTAAAGAGGGAACTGCCAAGGAGGGGACACCTGGGGGCACCCTCCAGGCTGGGGCAGAGGCCCAGCCTGCCAGGGCGGAAAATGAGAAAGATGCTACCACAGAGAAGAACAAGAAGAGGGGGTAAGTCAAGGTGGGGCCAGGTGAGGCCTAAGGTCTGTCCTGGGACCCCCAGTTAGACAACCTCAATAACTTGATAAACCCCCTGTATCCCAAGGTGTCCCATATATGCGAAGTAAGTCAGAATACTGATGGATCCTATCATGTCTCAAGTGAAGGCCTTTATTTTCCTAGGAAACTCTAGTTTCCCTGAGAATGTAAAATTGGGGTGCCCCACTATGTCTATGGAGAACTTCACTATCTTTGGGGTACCTGGTGGCCCTCAAAGCATTTCATCCAATGAGCTTCATTAACTACGGACTTTATAGGGAGGACCTCAGTATCTTGGCAGAGTTGACCATATCCAAAGGCAACCCAGTGAACACCAGTGGTCTTCTAAATCAGGGTCATTTCTGTGTCTCACATGTACCCCCAAAACTATTTCAAGGGATGCCCTCAGAAGACATTAATTAAAATGAAATCAGCTTTCCCCCAACTATGGTGGTGGTTTTCAATGGGTAGTTCTGTGTCTTTTGGGGTGTTTGGAAATGATGGAAGATTTCGATTATCACAGTTTGGGTTATCAAGCTGCTCCTAGGTCTCCATCGATTCTACTTGTTTTCAGTGTACCAGACAGTGCCACACAAGAAGAATGGTCTTTTCCCAAATTCCTTTAACACCCATATGAGAAATGCATATGAGAAATGCTGACATAGGGGGACCACTGTAGCCACTAAGGGAAGCTCCATGTTCCCAGATGCTCCTCTAAATGTGGGTCAACCAGCATTCACAAGCACAGAGTGCAGCACTTTCAGAATGGATTAGGCTGTCATAGTTGGGAATTCTATCCTCCAAGGGCAAGGCCTTGAGTATGAGAAACAGGATGTAGTTAGGACAGATGTGGGGAGCATGAATGTGTAGTCAGGAGGATTGGAGGGCTGGGCTTGAGAGCTAGTTCTTACGCAACTTCTCCTCCCCACCACCAGGTTCTTATTCAAGGCCAAAAAGGCTGCCATGATGACCCAGCCACCAGCCACTCCGGCTCTGCCCCGACTCCCTCGAGAGGTGGTACCTGCTGACAACCGTGATGACCCTGAGATCATCCTCAACACCACCACGGTATGAACCAAGGACCTTCGACTTTAGAAACCTCTCAGATTTCAGAATTTCATGTTGTGATTCCCGGTAACTGCCATACCTCAAGATACACTGGATACCTCAAAATACAGCACATGCTGATCTAGGTCCATAGAGCCTAAAAATTGTGGGAATCACTGTGAAGCTATAAAGCATACTAATATAACTCCCAGGGACCTAAAAACATCCAAGGGATAAACCAATATAAACTTGGGGCCCCAATATTTGTATTCACCCATATAAACTCAATATATCCAAATTTAAGTTATTCTAGTGTATTCCTGGGAACTAAAATTTACAATTATTCCAATAGTTTTGGGATTCCCCAAATCTGGAATATTTTCTGAGACAAACAGCCATGTTAGGATCATGGGTGATCTGGGTGCCATTTGGGTCTTCTTGTCAAAAAGCTCTATGGCTTTTTCCATCAGTAAAATGGTAATTGTAAGGCTATTACAATTGATGGTAATTGTAAGGATTAAGTGAGTTAACTTGTGAGCTAATTAGTGAGCTGTTTGTTAGCCATTGTTTATTTGTAACTTTGCTGTAACCTGAGGAGAGACCCAAACTTGGGAATATCACAAAATACTCCCAAAGGATTCCCGAGTTTAGAAATACATCAATAAACACAGAAACAGAGGGACATAGGCCCACGGGGTCTCAAATCTGGAAACTGGTTAAACTCCCAGAAGACACTGAGAATCCAGAGAAACCCACTTAAAGCCCCAGGGAAGCCCTATGTCACCATTCTTTTGGACTGACCACTGATCTTCCCTTTGCCTCTCCAGTACTATTACTCCGTGAGGGTCTTTGCTGGCCAGGAACCCAGCTGCGTGTGGGTGGGCTGGGTCACCCCTGACTACCATCAGCACGACATGAACTTCGACCTCACCAAGGTCCGGGCAGTGACAGTGACCATGGGGGATGAACAAGGCAACGTCCATAGCAGGTGCCAGGGAGGGGTGGGGACTGTGGGAGGCGGGACGTCAGCACTGGGCACCTGGCTCAGAAGTTTCCCTCCTACTTTTCCTCCTCTCTTCCTGTTTATTTTCTTCCAATGGCTTCTGTTCTGCTTTTTTTCTTCCTCCTCTCCTTTTTCCATTTCTTCTTTTCTGTTTACTCCTCCTTTTTCATCTCGCCCTCTTCTTTCTACCTCACCTTCTTTCTCTGTTCTCTCCTCTTTGCTCCCCTTCCTTCTTCTCCTTCCAGAACATCCCACCAGCTTCTAAGAATTCTAGCTCTGAGGAGCTCAGGGTCTGGGGTGAGGGGTTTTAGTGCTCAGGTCTGCAGGTGGTGGAGGTTTGGGGATGAGCCCTGAGGTCATGGTATTCTAGGAGCTTGGGGAAGGAGGTATTCAGGGTCTAGAATGCTTTGGCTGAGGACCCATGCACTGACCACCCCTGTCTCCTCCAGCCTCAAGTGCAGCAACTGCTACATGGTGTGGGGCGGAGACTTTGTGAGCTCCGGGCAGCAGGGCCGGATCAGCCACACAGACCTTGTCATTGGCTGCCTGGTGGACTTGGCCACTGGCCTGATGACCTTTACAGCCAATGGCAAAGAGAGCAACACCTTTTTCCAGGTGAGCCCATACCTTTCAACTTAGCAATAGTATCATGTCCCAGCATCCTGGGACAACCTTCCCAGACACCCCTGGAGTCCAGACCTTTAAAAAACAGGACAAAAACAGCACCTAAAACAAAACAAAACAAAACAAAGAGAACCTTCTCTGTCCTCAAGACAGGCCAGAGCTGGCAGGCCCCAGGGAAACAGTCTAGTTGAACCACCCAGTGAACTGAGGCCCAGAAAGAAGGAGACAAAACATAGCCTTGATCTTAGAGAGAGGTTTGTATTCCCTATTAGGATGGGTGCCACCAGTGGCCACCTTTTCACCAATCAGGGAACACCCAAGATGGGCCAGAATCCTAAGGTGGACTTTTCCTTTCAACATTTTATTATGAAAAATTTCAAGTGTACAGCAAAATTAAAGGAATTGTACAGTGAATACCCATATACCCACTACCAAGAATCTACCATCCATATTTTACTGCAATGGCTTTATGTCATATTTATTCTCCTGTCCACCCATTAATCCATCTAAATTATGGTCCCTGGATCAGCAGTGTCTGTATCACCTGAGAGTTTGTTAAAATACAGAATCTCTACAAAAAACACTCAGCAAAACTAATCATCAGACAAACCACAATGAGATATCACCTCACACCTGTCAGAATAGCTATTTTCAATAAATCAGCAAGTGTTGGTGAGGATGTGGAGAAAAGAGAACCCTCCTGCACTACTGGTGGGAATGCAATTGGTGCAGCCACTGTGGAAGACAGTATGGAGGTTCCTCAAAAAAATTCAAGATAGAACTGCCATGTGACCCAGTAATCCCACTTCTGGGTATTTATCTGAAGAAATACAAACCCCTAATTTGAAAAGACACATTACCTCTATGTTCATTGTAGCATTATTTACACGATCCAAGATATTGAAGCAACTTAAGTGTCCACTGATAGACAAGTGGATAAAGATGTAGTACAGACATACAATGGAATACTACTCAGTCATAAAAAGAATGAAATCTAGGCATCTGTGACAACATGGATTGACCTAGAGGATATTATGCTACCAAGAAAGACAAATACCATAAGGTTTCACCTATATGTGGAATCTAAAAACCAAAATACACAAACAAACAAAACAGAAACAAATTCATAGGTACAGAGAACAAACATGGTTGCCGGATGGGAGGGGGGTTGGAATGAAAATGATGAAGGAATTCAGAAGTACAAATTGTCAGTTATAAAAATAGTCATAGGGGTGTAAAGCACAGCATAGGGAATATAGGCAATAATATTGTAATGTTGTAATAACTATGTATGTTGTCAAGTGAGTACTAGACTTATTGGGGTGATTACTTTGTAAGGTATATCACTATGTTGTACATCTAAAAATAGTATAATATTGTATGTCAGTGGTAATTGGAAAAAAATTGTTTTAAGAAAAATGCAGAATCTTACCTCTCCCCAGACCCACTAACTTGGAATGTGCACTTTGACAAAGCCCAGGGGACTCTGTGCACACTGCCATCTGAACAGTATGGGCCTAGTTCCCACTGTGGTGTCATCTGAACATTTTCCTCTGTCCTCTGTATTTCCTGTAAACTGGGCGTGGTGCAGAGGTGCAATTAGATTCAGGGTTGGTTTTGGCAGGGCTGTTTCCAGATGGTGGTGTTTGTGGTGGAGGCTGGGTGGGTTCCACTGGGAAGATCAGAAGTGCTGGGGGAGGGGGAGTCAGAGGATGCTTTCTGGGGTTGGGAGAATGCGTGTGCTTGGGAGGGAAATGGGAATGGCATTCGTGGTGAGGGACATGATGTGGACAGAGACCCAGGCGACAGACTGCCCCGGTGGAGTTGGAGGAACTTGACCTGGCTGGGTCAGGGGCAGGGCAGCCCAAGCGCGGCTTCAGGGCCATTGTGGAGCCTACATTGCCTTAGTTTGGATCTGCAGGTGCCAGCAGGATCAGGATGGGACAATCAGCCCCAGAGTTTGGGTTCCAGAGTCAACACCACCTGCAGCTCACCCTCTCCCTCACCCTGCTGTTATCCCTTGCCAGGTGGAACCCAACACGAAGCTCTTTCCTGCTGTCTTTGTCCTGCCCACCCACCAGAATGTCATCCAATTTGAGCTGGGGAAGCAGAAGGTACGAGTGCAGTGATGGGACAGGCGGAGGGGGGAGGTGTGGGAGGCCAGGCTGAAAAGTAGCTGTAGGGGACGGGGCAATCTGGGAGGTCTCCCTGGAAGCAGGGTGGCAGGATGGAGGGCTAGGAATCCTGACCAGCGCACTGTGCCCCCAGAACATCATGCCCGCTGTCTGCCGCCATGTTTCTGAGTGAGCGCAAGAACCCGGCCCCCGCAGTGCCCACCGCGGCTCGAGGTGCAGATGCTGATGCCCATCTCGTGGAGCCGCATGCCCAACCACTTCCTGCAGGTGGACACGCGGCGTGCTGGAGAGCGACTGGGCTGGGCCGTGGAGTGCCAGGAGCCACTGATCATGATGGCGCTGCACATCCCTGAGGAGAACCGGTCAGGGTCCCCTGGCTGCAAGATGGTGGGGGGCGGGGTGCAGCGGCGGCGGGGGTCTGGGTCTAACTCAGTGCCCCCCCCCACTACCCTGGGACTCCAGACAACACTCTAGAAGGCCCAGACCTACCTTACTGTCCCCAGATAACACCCCAGGGAACCTTAGATCCATTTCAGTGGGCTCCAGACACACCTCATGGGACCCAGATGCAACCCAGGCATTCCCAGATACACTCCAGGGAACTCCAGACCCACCTCAGGAGGTCCTAGGTCCTTCTCAGTGGACCACAGACCCACCTCAGGGGACCACAGACCCACCTCAGGGAACCACAGACCCACCTCAGGGGACCACAGACCCACCTCAAGGGACCACAGACCCACCTCAGGGAACCACAGACCCACCTCAGGGGACCACAGACCCACCTCAGGGGACCACAGACCCACCTCAGGGGACCACAGACCCACCTCAGGGGACCATAGAAAACATCCCAAGGGCCCCAGACCCACTTTACAGGGCTCCAAACCCATCTTAGGGAGCCCAGATCCATATCAAAGAGCCCATTCCCCCAAGGGGCCTCAAGTGCACATCGGAGGGTCCTGGGCATTCCTTGGAGAGGTCTGGGTGCACCGCAGGGTCTCTCGGGCACACCCCATGGATCTCTTTGAACCCACTCCAGGGGACCGGACATGGATCACAGGAATACTCTTAAGGACTCTGAACATGGCCAGGAGTCCCAGGCTCACCCAGGAGGCTTCCAACATGCCTCATCTTTCCTTTATTCATTCATTTGACAAATAGCTTCGAGCTCTTCTTATGTAATTGATGGCATTCCAGGCTATAGAATATCAAGCCCTGTGAACAAACATTTTAGTAATGCTCATGTATAACTCAGTGGGCTCACACCCATCCCCAGGGGCCAGACACATCCATTTATTCAGTCAACAAATATTTATTGAACACCTATTATGTGCTACGTCCTGTTTAGGTGCTGGGGAATACAGAAAGAAAAAGAAAAACACCCAAACAAGCTGAAATGGCCTCCCCTAGCAGCATTTACTCTAGTGGTGCTCACACATAACCAGGATCTCAGACCTGCCCTGGGAGGGAGGGGGTCGCGCTCGATTCTGGATCCCAGATACATGTCAGAGTCACAAGATCTTCTCGGTAGAGTCTCAGATACCCCAGAGTGACAGACATTCCCAGGGCGCCCCAGATCCCTTAGGGACTTCCAGAACCATTCAGAGACTCCTAAACCCAGTTCCATAGACCGCACAGAACCTTGGCCCAGCAGAACACTGGGATTCCCTGCTGGGGCCGCCAAAACTCACCTACACACCTCTTTGCCTCTCTGTGGTTTGTGTCTCTGTCTCCCACCTCCTCTGCCTGCTCTGTTCTGTCTGTGGCTCATCTTTGCCACAGGTGCATGGACATCCTGGAGCTGTCGGAGCGCCTGAACCTGCAGCGCTTCCACTCCCACACACTCCGCCTCTACCGCGCAGTGTGCGCCCTGGGCAACAACCGCGTGGCGCATGCTCTGTGCAGCCACGTGGACCAGGCGCAGCTGCTGCACGCCCTGGAAGACGCGCACCTGCCTGGCCCTCTGCGCGCTGGCTACTACGACCTCCTCATCAGCATCCACCTGGAGAGTGCCTGCCGCAGCCGCCGCTCCATGCTCTCCGAGTACATCGTGCCCCTCACGCCTGAGACCCGAACAATCACCCTCTTCCCACCTGGAAAAAGCACGGATAATGGTCCCCGCCGCCACGGCTTTCCTGGCGGGGGGCATCACCACCTCCCTGCGACCTCCACACCATTTCTCACCGCCTTGTTTCGTGGCTGCCTGACGGCTACTGGGATGGCGGAAAGTTCCAGCCCGCCTCAGCCCCAGCATCCCGCTGGAGGCCCTGCGGGACAAAGCACTGAGAATGCTGGGGGAGGCAGTGCGCGATGGTGGGCAGCACGCACGCGACCCTGTCGGGGGCTCTGTGGAGTTCCAGTTTGTCCCTGTGCTCAAGCTTGTGTCCACCCTGCTGGTAATGGCTTCCTCCTGCTTTCCTCTGCCCCAGTCTTCCACATTCCAAATAATCTGTCCATACATGCATCGACTCCCCTTCCATTTATGCATCTAATCGCCCATTCATCTCTCCATCTATACAATCTCCACCTTTCAATTTATCCCTCCATTATCTACTCATCCTTCATTCACTTTTCCTTCCATTCATTAATCTGTCATCTATTCATATATTTATTAAGCTTTTATTTCCATTCATCCTCCCAATCAACCACCATTCATACATCTATTTATTTTTCCATTCTCCAACCATATACATCCATCCATGTGCCAATCTGTCCAGCTTTCATTCTAGTTTTCCATTTAGCCTTCTATTCACTCATACATCAGTTCATTCACCATGCCATTTATTCATCTATCTATCAACTATTTACTTACTAACCTAACTTTCTTTTCATACATCCTATTTCCACTGGTGCATCTATACATCCATATATACATCCATGCACCATCACAGATTTATCCATTCTTCATTATCCACCTACCTGTCCACCCATACATATATCTGTCTATCCATAGGTATGTTTCACCCATCCACCTACCTATGAATCCATCCAACCACCTACACTTATTCATCTACTCACCCATCCACCCAATCTCCATCTTCTATTCATCCCTTATTTCATGTACCCTTTTATTCACATACCCATCTAATGATTCATTCATATGCCTACCCACAAATTCATCCAACTTTTCATTCATAAATTTATCCATCCATACCACCTCATCCCATGACTACTTACCCATTTATCTATTTACCCATACACTCATTTACTTGCTCATGCATCTATCAAACAATCCATTCACCTACCCACCTATCCACATGTCATTTATCCTCTGTCATCTTTTCACCTCCCAACTCTTCCTTCACTTTTAACTTCACCTCTCCATTCCTTAACCACCCCTCCATCTTTCTTCTCCCCTTCAAACCCTTACTATTCCATCCATTAACTCAGCCACCCAGTTCTCCCCCCATTCATCCATGTTTCTCTTTCTCACTTCTTCTTCCCTTTTATCTACCCAATTTCCTTCCATCTGTTAGCATCTCCATTATGTTGATTGAGAACTGGCATATGCTGGGAGCTATAAGGGCCTCCATCAGGTATAGGGTGTGTCCTGTTCCAGAGGCACATATGCTCAAGCTTGGGAGAATAGACACTTGAGAAGGGAAAGGTGCTCATATTTAGCTATGTGGTCTGGGCCATGTGGGTGGGACACAGGGTAAGGATTGGAGGGGATCTTAAGGAGGATGAATGTCAGGGCAGAGAAATGCCATTCCTGGTTGTGAGAGGAGCCATATAGCCAATGCAGGAATGAACCTGCCACATGCAGGAAAAGCAGATCTGGGAAATGATGCTGGGACTTACTGATGGAGGCTCTGCAGGCCACAGTGAAGGACCCAGGCTTTGTCCTGTAGGTGATGGGCGTCTTTGGCGATGAGGATGTGAAACAGATATTGAAGATGATTGAGCCTGAAGTATTCACTGAGGAACAAGAGGAAGAGGAGGAAGAGGAGGAGGAAGAAGAAGATGAAGAGGAGAAGGAGGAGGACGAGGAGGAAGAGTCACAGGAGAAGGAAGATGAGGAGAAAGAGGAAGAGGAGACAGCAGAAGAGGAAAAAGAAGGCTTGGAGGAGGGGCTTCTTCAGATGAAGTTGCCAGAGTCTGTGAAATTACAGGTGGGCTGGTTCTTTTAATTTTCCAACCTCCATTCATCTGGGGTGGGAGACACAGTGGTGAGGCTTGAGTCAGATTTATTCCGAGGCAGTGGGAGCTGTGGGAGTGCATAAAGCAGTGAAGTGCTGCTGGCTTGAAATTATCTCTCTGGTTTCCAAGTGGGAAATGAATTGGAGAAATGAGACCATGGAGAAGTCTGTTTTACGGATCCAGGCAAGAGATGATGGTGGCTGGACTAGGTCAGAGTCCCTGAGAGGAGGAGAGAAAGCAAGAAAAGTTTCAAGGAAGTCCTCATGGTC